TTTCTCAGGCATACATTTAAATACTATACCATAATAAAGTATCTATGTCACCTTTAGCTGTTATTAAAATGCTGTTTTTATGTTCAAATAGAAAATACACTTATCTTCTCATCACTTCCTCTTCTAAACGCCTTGAAATTGGCCTCTGTCTCTTTAAGAACCACCTACCGCTTCTGTCTCGTGAGGTGGGGGTCGTGCTTGCGGGGGGGAACGGGGGCTGCCATGATGCAGTTTACTTGGCATCTGAAAATACATTTCCTCAAAGGTATTTTTAATCTGAAAAGAGCTTCACTGAGTGAGAACTAATGTTGAGAGCTCAGCAGACAGTTTAAGTTTCACTTTCACTTTCACCTGAGAGCCTGAAGGAGTCATGGGCGTCGTGTGTGGGGAGGGGGAAGTGGGTGGGGGTCTCCACCATGAGGAAGCTTGGCTTAAAGACACATCCCAGGGACGTTTCTGGTCCCCACCGGTTGTTTTGCTCCTCAGCATGGCTTCCTAAAAACGCTGCAGGATTTCTCAAACATGCATGAATGAGTCAAAGTAAGACTTTGGGCATGTAAGAGAGCATAACATTTTAACATGATATAAAACTCAAAAAAGTTGATTTTACATGATATCGCCCCTTTAAAGTACAAAACCAGGGGGTTGGACTTAAGAGATGAAAGAACCAATTGGCGGGCCGCATCCTGGTCACTCACGGCTGCCAGCTGAACAGCCCTGATCTAGAACTTATTTGGCAGTTCTGTCACAAATATTGTGACAAAATAGTTCAGGAAACATTAAAGAAAATAAATAAAACTGAACAATATGACCCAAAGAGAATATAAAGATATCTACGCAGCATCAGGAGAAACTATTTTCAACTTTTCTGCACTTCTAAAGACTCCGAGTGCACAATAAAATGCATTTAACGGTTAAAAACGTGGTATGTGCATGATATGTCCCCTGCAAAGAGACACTTACCAGAGATACTTACCAGACTCCAGATCAGTGTGACACGATTTCCTCCAACATTTACGGCTGCAATCACGGCACAAGGATGAAAAGTAATGAAGAAACAGTTGGCATTTTGCGGAAGCCTCAGGAGATGTGCAGTTTAATAGGTAGTTTGAATGTGGACACCAGCTTGTTGCTATAAATGCAGTCTTAAGGGAACATTGTACATTCAGCCTGTTGTCTCTGCCCTTAGGCCCTCCTGTGAATGTCACCTGCAATATTTTCATCAACAGCTTTGGGTCGATCACAGAAACTACAATGGTAAGAAGACTCTGGATTTGAAATGGGAGAAAATACTATTTTTAATATATTAAATGGCTTAAAACCTTGAACTTTCTTTAAACATTTGTTCTAAACATGATGACGTTTTTATCATTGCTTTCTTTTTATGATCTTATTTTATAATAACAAAAAAATCCTCAATTTTTCCCCCCCTCGTCTCCACCAACTTCTTTGTGAATCCTCCTGGTGCTAAAGCTGCTCTCGCACTTCTGTTTTCTGGAGCGTAACAGTGCAACCTTCAGAGACCAGTGGGTCACTGACACCCTGATAATGAACTGTCCACTCAGCAATTAAAATGAAAAATTGAAAAACCGAGAGAAAAGGATGGGAGAAAAGGAGGGTCTGCATTTATAGTGTTATTGCTGCTGGGTCAGCGCGATACAAAAGTGAACAGTATGCTTGTTTGTCTTTGTGTGAATGCTTGTTTGTCTTTGTGTGTATGCTTGTTTGTCTTTGTGTCTATGGTGTATAATGATGTGATTGTGATGCTGTAATCCTGAGTGTTTTATGTGCTGCAGAACAGGAACCTGCTGTAAAACAGCAATTAGGCTGAGTCCGGCTTGATTTTTAATAATATTTTCCTGTTTAAAAAAACTGTTTAAGGGGAGCTAAGGGAGATCCGGAGGACCGGTTCTATGTCTCTGCAGAGAACAAAAACACTGATTATATTATCGTTTGTGCAGATGAAGCAGATTCTGTTAAGCAAACAAGAAATAATTACAAAAACCTAAATGAACCAAAATGACTTGTAGAATATTAATACATTTTTTTTCTTAAATTACTTGTAGATCTTGTTTAGAGCCAGGATTGTTCAGTTTGACCTGATGTTTCTTTTATGCACAAAGATCATTCATGTGATGAGAAGAGACAGAGTTAAGGCTGAGGATTTTGGATCTGTCACAAAACTGGACTGAGTGGAAAATTGTTCATTTATCTTCTTAAATTAAAGTGTTCTGGAAAAGCTGTTAAACGAGCAACAACTTTATTCTACCAATAATAAATCTGTTTAAATTAAAATAAAGTCAAACAAATCCAACAATTTTAAGAATAAAATGTTTCAGGTTCCTAGTGTTTTTTTTACAAATATATTATTTCTTACAATAAATTTATTTTTTGAATTTTTCACTTATATGTTTATCTTTGTTCATTCCTCTTGTCTTATCTTTAAGATCAGTTTCACTTTGACTTTAATCCTGTATTTTTTAAGCTTTTTTAAAGTCAGTTTTTACTTGGGCATGAAAAAGTTATGTCTTTTTTAAACCCCCTTTTTTTAAAAAAAGCTTGTTTTTACCCTTTTAACCTGTTGAAACCTCTAGTATTTAATATTGTTTATTGAATTGTCTTGCTTGATTTTACAGTTTTATTATTCATAAAGCACTTTTGAACATGATTTTGAACTAAGTTCTCTAAAAAAACATTGTCATTATGTTTCAGTACATTTTTATATGTGTAGTCAACTTACAGGATGTAAAACATGTTTATCTAACAGTGACTCATCTGTTTTTTATGTCTTTAAAATACAATAACCGAAAAAGGACTCCTGAGTTTTCTATCTGAATTAAATCTTTTTCTCATTATATATTTGTTAATAACTATGTTGTGATTTTGCACAGGACTACAGGCTGAACGTATTTCTACGACAAAAATGGAATGACCCTCGCCTGGCGTACAGTGAATACCCAGATGACTCTCTAGATCTGGATCCTTCCATGTTGGACTCTATCTGGAAACCTGATTTATTCTTCGCAAATGAGAAAGGAGCCAATTTCCACGAGGTCACAACTGATAACAAGTTGCTACGGATTTTCCAAGATGGCAGCGTTCTTTACAGCATCAGGTATGTAAAGAAGATAATATTTCTGAACCTAACAGCCTCTGGGTGCTGGGTTAGAAACACAACGATATGATGAACTCAATTAACCTGGAGTGGATGTATTATGTTTAAAGTTCAGTGCAGGTTTGGTGTTCATCCGTTTTATTTATTTTATGTAGAAATGCCTTAAACTTTGAACAAGTGGGAAAAGAAAGTGAATATTAATATGTACCACTGACTGCTCTGAAGATATAAAATTAAATTTTCAACTAGCGACCATGATATGCAGAGGTGTAGCTACAGTAACAAGTGCACACATTTTTTTTGAGGAGTTGTAATTTTACCAAGTATTTTTTTATTGTAACTTTTACTTCTATTTAGTTATATTCAAAACATAAAAAGGATCATTTTACTTCTTTACTTTGAAATTGAACATCTTGTTACGCACTAAAAATTTTAATATGAGCGAAACTCATCATAGAAGGAGTTGTTTATGCACTCTAAAAGACAAAGTGTTGAATTTACTTAACCAAGTTATGTCAAACGGTTCCATTAAACTTTTCAGTAAATGCAAGGAAATGTGTGAATTGTTGCTCTATTTACTCAACTCGGTTTAATCACTAAAGTGGAACCAGTTTGGTTAAGTAAATGTGTCTCTTCAGAGTGTGTGTAAAAGTACTTTTCTTTTTTTATTTTCCCAATTATTGTGAGCAGTTTTATGACTTTCACTGAAATACTTTTCTTATCAGTGAAATTCATTTTTACCAGTCATTTTTCTGTTAAGGGATTTTTACTTTTACTTGATTTTTTTAAGTACTTTATACACGTCTTATGTGTACTGAGATCCGTTCTATTCACATTCTTACCCAAAAGCAAATTTTTAACTAGCATCTCGACACGAAGACTAAATTGTTCCCATTCATTTAGTCAAGTTCTTAAAAGTAAAGATAAGGAAGTTTGACAAACATTAAAAGTTTGTTTTTTAGCACAAGTGAATCTTAAAGAGCTATAAGCTAAAAACCTGACTGATCAGATAAAACTTCATGGAGCATCTGACATGGAGCTAGTGGGGGGGGGGGTAGACCCAGCTTGGGTGTCCTTGTGTTATATGTTCTGATAGTGGCCCGAATGTTGGGGTGGGTGTAGTATGTCTTCTGGGGTGGTATTGGGTTGGTGGCCGTGGGTGGTGGCTGGGGGCCGTGCTGGGCTGGCTGGTTGGCCCCTTTGCTGTGGCGGGCCCCCCCTGGGTGCCCCCCTTGCTCTGTCGGCAGTTGGATGGGTGCTCTTGGCCGGGCCGTCCTTGCTGGGGAGCGGTGGCCTCTCTGGGCGGCGGGCCGGCTATGGGG